ATGCCATTTATAAGAGATTAATAAGTGATTAATTTGTTGGCAGAAGGTCAAGTGGGTGAGGAAGGCGTTTGATTGTAGCCTTCTGAGGGTGTCCTCCTCCATTTCATGTGGCAGGGTGAGTTGCACGTCTCCGTACCCCTGCCAGTTGTCAGGGCCCTTTAGAAATGTGTGATAAATGCAATATTAAATAAAGCCTGGCAGCTCTGCTCAGCAGCAGGATGAACTTGTTGACAGTCCTAGTCCATATTCTGCACTGATATTGTATCTGGCACTGTGACAAGGCAAGCAGGCTGTGGTGGATTGCATGGAAGGGGAAGGTCCCATGCATCAGTTTCTGGCATCTTTCTTTCCCCTACTCTCAACAGAGCAGCCAACGGGACGGCTGCCGGGGGAAGTAGGGCTGTTAGTCCCAGTTCATCTCTAATTCATGCAGCCCCATCACTTGCAGGTGATTCTTTCAGTGGTGATGGACACTGTTTTATTCACAGGTGGTGGGGCAATGTATCTTCTGGGAAACACCAGCTGTCATGCCAGGGCTGCATGTGGCTCCTCCTAAATCCTGTTCCTGAAACCTTTTCCCTCGTGAACCCTGGCTCTGGGGGCAACCTACCCGACAGACCCAGCAACCAAAGTCAACACTCTCCTGGCCTGATAACCCAGCGAGCTCAGGAGACAGGAATGTCCAGTGTGCGGGTAGAGGGTTCTTGAGTTTTTCTGGCACAGGTCTGCAAAGCCCAAAGCCTCTGGGAGGCATTTGATTTTCCTTTCTGGAATTAGCTTTAGTGCTGAAGGTTGGGTTTGGGCCAGCAAAGCTTCCTTTGAGCTGTCAACCATGCAAAAGACTCCTTGAGTCTGCAGAGTTTCCCTTAAACACAGCTCATCTGGTGCCAGAAATTTCCCTTGCCTGAATATTGTAATCTCCTCTAGTGCTGGTGAGGAATTGCCCAATGGAAACGTGACCTTTCCAGCAATGCTGGCTTGTCTGGAGCTGGTGTTTGTGGCCATGTGGAACAGTGAGGCCAGGGCTTGGTTGCCTGTAATGCTGTTCTGCAAAAAGAGGTGTTTTGTAGTGCAAACAGAAAGAAAACCCCTCCTTTGGCTGGGGGTCCAGAGGGAGGTGAAGTCAAGAGCTGGATCTGAAATGGGCAGCTGGCCCCAAACAGAGCAGAAGCCTGAGCATCCCAAACGCTTGGCAAGCAGTGACTATGTGGCCAAAGCTGAACCAGGGTGCTTTCAGTTCATCTTTAGACCTGCTGGATCTCCTCACCTCCTCAGGAAGAGTTAAGTCCCTTCCACAAAGTGTGTTTGCCTCAACCATGACCTTTCAAAAGCTGTTGGCGGAGTTGTAGGGACTGTGTAAGAGAAATGACCCAGTCTTGTGATGAGGTCTTGCTGGAGCAAGTCTTGCTGCAGCTCCAGGCTGCTGGGGCCACGAAGAGGTCTCTCTACCCTTCCTCATCCCTTCTCCAGTCACCCTAAAGTTTGTGTGAGGGGTTGAATTTCCTTTCACATTGCATGAAAATCCCTCTATATAGGGGTTTTATAAAGGTAAGTGGCTGGATGCTGGAATGTAGCACACTCATCTTGCAATTCTTCAAGCTTCAAGTTGTCTTGCTTTCCATTTCCCTATCCTGTGATGGGTGAAATGAAGTTGAGAGCTCTTGGTCCCACTGGCAGCTATGAGTCTGCTTCTTCTCCAAACCTCCCCAGACTGAGATCAACCTGGGAAAGTGCTGGCTGGGGGTGAAAGCAGAGATACGTGGGATCTGCCTCATCCTGAAGCACTGGGTAATTATTTCTAGAAGTGGGAAAGACGGTTGTGAAATATCACTGTGGGCCGAGCACGTTGAGCTGCTGAATGCAATTGTGAACAATTAGAGCAAACGGAAAACCATGGCCCCTTCTTAGAAAATGGAACCGTTTGGAAATTAAATCTTTCCAGCTTTTTGCTTCGAAAGGCAATTTAACAGCTGACCCCCTGCTCACACTTGTGATTGTCCAAATTGGAATGGCACATTTGTCTGGGGTCCAACAAACCCCTGTAGCTGACCCAAACACAAAAACAAATGCAAGGCTTAGTTTGTAATTTGCTTGTGTTTTTTGTTTTGTTTTGGTTTGTTTGTTTTTCACTAAAGACAAATATTTGTGCTGCTAGGTCAGTCAAAAAGTAATCATCCTTTTTCCTCTGTTTGTCAGTGTGATTACTGAACCCCAAAGCATCACTTATTAAACCTCACTCCACTACCAGCCTGTTTGAGCATGAGAGAGAGCTCAGAATCTGCAAACAAACTGGTTTTAGGTGTTTGCTGGAGAGTGCTGGTATTCCTGAAGGCAGAGTGAGTGGGGGCTTGGTGGGGGCTTTATCTGCAGCCCTTACTGCTGAGCAGAGGCATGGTGCTCCCAGCATTTCAGCCCCACCGGGATGCTCAGTGTGTCTGAGCCACATCCCAGCACAGTGGTGGACAACCTGGAAGCTGGGTTGCTCTGTGGCAAAGGGAGATGGGAAAGTTATTTCCCTGCTTTTGCAGAAAAATCCTTCTCCCCAAAACAGTCGCCCCCAGCTCTGTCCTCAGCTTGTTTGAAGGATGCAGGGACAGAATAGCGAGCCGGTGAGGTCATGGGGAGAGAGTTAGTCACATCCAACTGGGAAAGGGAGAGGGCTGCCAACCAACGTTGCTCTCAGTGTGGAAAGCTCATATGCTTCAGAGGGTACCCCCCTCCAAGCTCCCCTGGGCACCCTGGGCAAGCAGGGAGGGTTCGTGCAGCACTGCCTCTGCAGCAGCTTCCCAAGGAGCTGTAGGAGGGGGTGAAGGATTTTAATTGAAATCTAACTTGTTCTGGCATAAACATGGACCTTGCTTCTTGTAACTGGGGCGATATGGGAGAGAGGGGGTTAACAGCCTTTCTGAATTGGAGACTATCTGGAGCTGTCGCACAAGGGAGGGAGATCATGGCAGAGTTTAATGAATGACTTCATTTATATATTAAAAAGAAAAAAACAACAACACGGTGGCTTCCTGCCAGGCCCACAGACAAGGGTTTCTATGGGAACCTGAGGAAAAATAATAAATAGGAGTGTGGGATGAGTAGGGAAGGGAGGAGGGGAGCCCAGGCTGTGGTCTAGGTCCACGTTGTTCCCCATGGAGAACAAGGTGGCAAGGGGCGATGAGGGAGTAAAAGGGGAAAGAGCTGAATTTGCTGCTTGCAAAAAGACCCCACCCAAAATAAGGCAGGCAGTAACTACACGCAGTGGAGCATTTTCTTGGGCTAGTCCTGGGATTTGCTTTTTTCCCTGTTCCCCCATGGGCACAGCAGGGATGGGAAACTTTTTTACATCGGGCTCCACATCCTGGCTCTGCTGCCTTGGGGCAGGTGGGAGTTCAAGAGGGCAGTGATTTAGGGTCATCCCCAGCTTCCTGACTGGCCAGTGGTGGGACCACTGTGGAAAGGGATGCTGCTGGGGCTAAGCTCGACAGTCCTGCTGCCACTGCAGAGTAAAATAGGCTCCGAGGGAGTCTCCCTGGAAAGGCTACCAAGGTTCATAATGCAATTAGAAAGGCCAAATTTTTCCTGAACAAAATCTATCGATTAATCCCAATGGGCTTTTTTTCCTCCCATTGCTGGGAGAGGGAGGTATCTGTCCTGAACCTCAAATGAAAACAGCATGTTAGTGAGACCCTTGGTGAAGTGAGGCCCTTTCACATGGTTGCTAGTCCAGACTATGGGCAAACCCAGGCAGGCAGGCAGAGTGGCACATCTGGGGGCAGCTGAAACCTGTTCCTCATTCACTCAAACTGGGCTGAAACAAGTCTCAACTAAGGCATTTCTGGTTTTTTTTCCCTTTTCCTTTCCACAAGCTCTTTGCCCCCATCTGAACTATGTTGCACTGTATCTCCTATTGAGCAGGTTCATCCCATGGGGACTGCAGTCCTCAGGGCATGCCTGAGGAGGGGAAGTTCATGTTGGGCTGGATCCTGCTGCTGGTGGGAGATCGCCTTCCTGACTCCCATGTGTATGCCTTGCCTCAAGAGCATTTCTGTAAATAGGTTTGCAAACACCAGGGGAAACAGCCTTCATGGTCTGTTTTGGACGTGGCTGAGCCGGGGTGAGTGGGGTGAGGAAGCATCTGCCCCAGCATCAGCCCCAGGTACCATGAGTCAGACCTGGCCAGCTCCAGCTGCCATCACAGGCCCTTTGGGTGAGTGGTGACCATCCCATGGCAGCATGTCCCTTTCTGCCTGCGGCTCAGCTGGTGCTGCCAGTGGTGGAGCAGGAGCTGATCCCATGTGGAGAGTGACTGGACTGGCATTATCACCAGAGGAGGAATGTGGCATTGCTTCCTTGGGGATGGAAGAGGCCATTCTGCTGACAGAGGCATTATTATTCAGCAGCTGATATGTCTGGGGGAAGCCAAGGCAGGTTTTGCTTCTCTGCAGGGGTGGAAGAAAGCTGGGCTGGGCAGAGCAGGACATAGCTGCTGCCCTCCAGCACTTGGCCTCCTGGTCAGGCAGGAGCAGCTCAACTGCTTGAGGAAACTCACCCCCAGCATGCAGATCTTTCCTACCCTGGGCCAAAGCTTGAGATGGGGATGTTAGAAATCTTGCAGCACTGCAAGACCCTTTACAAACCCTTCCTGGGGTGCAAAGCTGTTTTTGCAGGGAATGGTGCTTCCCAGTGGGCTTCCAGCGCGCAGGAAGGTGGCTGGTCTGGAAGGAAGGGGATATGCACGACACCTTCCTTGGAGAGATTTCCAGGCTTTTCTCCACCCCTCTCCTAGTCTATGTGTCCCACCTTATCCTTGCACATCCATCAGTCCAGTATGGAGCTCTGCTGATGGAGGTGAGGATGCCACTTTGAAGGGCTCCGCTCATGATGGGAGCACTCCTCTGCAGAAGCCTCCTGTTTTTCGGGGGGAGCCCAGATACCTCAGAGGGTTATTACTGGGTTTCACAGGCACTGCCTGATGGCATTAAGGGTGAGTTTTCCCTCTTTCTTGGCAGGCTGACAGCACAGTGGAGCGTGGAAGATGAAGAGGAGGCGGCAAGAGAGCGGCGGCGACGGGAGCGGGAGAAGCAGCTGAGATCCCAGGCAGAAGAGGGCTTGAATGGCACTGTCTCCTGCTCGGAGAGTGCGAGTCCAGCACAGGAAAACCAGTAAGAAATACCCACAGATAAATCCTTCAGCAACACACTTTCTCCTTGCAGCAAACCCCTCCTGCAAGCACAGCGCGTGTGTCTAAGTTGTTTGAGGTGGCTTGAGGAGATGGGGAAGTTCTCTAATAGGTTTAGGTTGGGGATCTAGCCCACACCAGCAGAAAAACTTATTTGGGCAGAAAAACACAGAAGCCATGCTTTGCTCTTTTTATTTTGGCTGGAGGCTGGGTGTTTTACGGCCCTGAGTGTTTACACTGGGACAGCTTGGGCAAGGCTGAGCTCTGGCAGGGAGTCCTCATTGCCAGTGATTTCAGTGCCTGGTTAAATTTCAACTTGTGAATCATCCTACACCGAAAGCAATGGAGGTTCCTGATACATGCAAAAACGGACACGTACCTGAGGATGTGATGCACAACCCTGAGCAGATCACAGTGCTGGTGCCCGAGCAAGCAGTCACCTATCCTGGCTGGGCTCCCCACTCCTCCCTTGGAGGATGCTGCCCTGGCACTGGGAGCATGAGCATCCCCCAACCTGGTGCAGTTCACAGTTCTGAGGGTTAAAACTAACTTTGTGCTTTAATGGGGCAGGTCCTAAATGGAAGTAGCTCAGGAGGCATTTATGGAGATGCTGAGTTATCTACTGTCAAAGAGGAAACACCTGGAGAAGGGATAGGATGACATCCCCAGCATCCCACCACAGCATCCTACCACAGCCTCCCCATGTCCATGGTTCAGAAGCCCAGATGCCGTGGCAGCACTGGGACTAGCACAAAAACCAGTCTGCTCTCTGAGTTGTCAAACTCTCGTCTCAAAGACCTCAGTCTTCCCACTATTTATGTGTTCAACTTATTTCTAAATATATTGAACACAATGGAAAAGTTATATGGGATTATAGTCAGAGAGAAGCAACAGTTTCATTTTATTGGAAAAATAGCAAAAGTTATTTATAAAAATCTATTCTTTTTCCATTAAAAGTTTTTTTTTTCTTAGATACTTTCAAAATTATGCAGGACTTCTTTTTTTTTTCCCTTTTTTTTTTTTGTCTGAAAGCATTGCAGAGCACCTTCACAATCTTTTGTGGAAATACACACGGTGATATTCTGCAGACAAAACCACTGCAGTATGCTCTAAAAGCAAACAGAAGATCTGGACAGTAATAATAATCACTGGCTTTTCCAAACCCCCCTTCACGTCGGAGCTGGAAAATAATTTGTAAAGGTCTTTGAAACAGCAGACAGGATCTCTGGTCTCTGCTTTGCTGGGAGATGCTGTGAGCAGCCTCAGGCTCAGAGCAGTGTGCAGCAGCCCCAGTAACCCAGCTTGCAGGCTCCAGTCCCATTGGCATGGGCACAGACACGCTGCAGATCTCATAGGACCATTGGTGTTACCCAGATTTAATTGAGTGCTTAAGCAGGCAATGACAAGAAGAACTCGTAAAATGAAGGGTTTTGGTCCCTGCTCCATGATGCTTAAGCTTGCTGGGCCAGGCTCAACCAAAAGGATGTTTCTTCTTCTCTGGCCATTCCCTGGTCTTGTTTATCACTGCTGACAGCCACCTGGGCTTGCTCATGTGGCCGGGGTCAGCCCTGGCTGTTAATCTTCTGAAAAGCTTTGTTCTCTCTTGTGTAAATAGTGGCCCCTCCTTCCCTTGGCTCTTCCCATGCCGGGACTTACGCTGTTGCTCCTGTTAGTTCAAACCAACCCTTGGCATTTCCTTGCACCAAATGGACAGAGTGAATCTCCTTTTCTTCCTTCTCCCCACTAAAGAAAACCAGAAGTAGCATGCAAACCAGCAGGTTTGCAGGAAAGACAGGCGTGTCCTTGGGAGCCAGAGGGATGGACATCAGCTAAAGTGGTGGCGTTGGGGCTGTGCTGGCTTGATGCTTCTCCTGGGGTTGTGTTTGCAGAGGGGCACAGGGGAGCAACCAGTTTTCTAAGAGCATTCAGGCAGTCTCCCTTGCTCCCTGGGAGTTTTTCTGGTAGCCCAAACATAGATTTGTGACCAGGGCCACGAATACTGGAATGATTCTGCCTTGTACACCATCAGCACTCCAGCTTGCCTGAAGCCCTGACCAGTGACTCAGCAGATTTATTGTCCTGTCCTGATTCCGCATCAAATTTTCTGGATGTTATCCTGGGGCATCCACAAGCGGCCACTACACACACAGCAGAAAATAACCCAGCCCAGGCTGCAGTGTCCTAGACCTATGTAGCATCGTTGCTTGGCAGTCCAGGGGGATGCTGAGGCATGGCAGGAGCTGGGCTGTGCTCAATCTTGTGGCTTGAGCAGCCATTTTCACTGTGCACTCCCTGCTTCTCTCCCTGGTGAGAGCACATACGTTTTGTAAATCCTTGGCTCCTGCAGTCAGTTCAATATAAGACTCCCAGATCTTGGAGAATTACTTCATGTTTCAAGCCACTGGGGTCATGGAGGAGGCTGTGTATCTCCTGGCATCTCCTAAGAGCTCAGAAAGGCAAAAAAAAGACTTGCCCACATTTACTACATATTTTGGACCTCTGGGTTCTAAACTAATCTCCAAGTTGCACATCCTAATTCCCATTCCCAGGCAATGTGATCGCCTTGAGTCCCAAAAGCCATCTCCTCAGGCCGATGCTTGCAACGTGATGCTTTCCCACCCAAGACCCCTCACTGGGAGGTGAGTCTTCTTGGAAACACAAGGAAAGAAGTAGGAAAAACCCAATAGTCCCTGTGCAAGGCCAGCCCACATCTGGTGCTGACAGCTGTGCACCCCGGGAGGGCTGTGGCTCCGCACAGCAGCAGGATATGCACAGGCGGGGAGCTGGAGTCATGCAAGTGCATGTGCCTGGCTTAAAGCTGTATGGGAACGTGAGGATCCAGTGTCCTAATCTTTGGATCTTCATGCTTTCCTGTTCTAGCAAGCTGTTCAGGCCAGCTCCTGCTGATGTCTTATCTCTGGGGCTGCCTACAAGCACAGGACAAGCAGCAGCTGAGTTTGAAACACCTCTGGTGCGAACAAGCTAGGGCCAGCATCAGTGCAGATGAAAACCATGGACTTTTTGTTTCTGATGTGCTGCTTGCCTTTGCCTGCATATGGCCCCAGAGACAAGCAGCAAGTGGGGTGCTCCTCCTGGAGATACGGAACTGCTGCTTCTTCCTCTCCATCATGCAATAATACCTCGAGAGACCCCCATTGTACAAGACGGCAAAGGCATCTTCCCTGTAACACAGGATAAGGCTTCAAATGGGATTTAGGAGCAGCCAGAGGAAAGAAGATGGAATAGCTGAAGAAGAGAAGGACAGTGTCAGGCTGTGGCTCTTCCAGCCCAGGTTTAGGTCTTTTTGCATGCCTCTCATCCTAATTTTCCTTCTTGCTGTGTTTCAGCTATGACTTTAAGCCATCTGGGACTTCGGAGCTGGAGGAAGATGAGGGGTTCAGTGACTGGTCCCAGAAGTTGGAGCAGCGCAAACAGAGGTGGGTAGGACACAGATGAGCCCAGGGGAGGGGTACCAATGAGCCCAGCAAAAGAAGTGTCCCTGAGGAGGGGTGACCAAACCGAGGTCAAGTCTAGCATGTGTAAGGATGAGGCCAGAGGCTTGAGCATCAGCAGGACAGAACAGGCCCCACACCGCTGGAACAGATGCTCTCTCCTGCCCTTTGGGCTAGCTGGGGGGAATGGCCCAGGGATGGCCTCAGGCTTTGGGGATGTTTGGATTGAGCTTTGCACTCCAAGCAATGGCAGCCTGCCAGGACACCTGGGTTTGGAGGAGTGACAACAGCAGATTTAAGCCACCTGAGCTGTTGCAGGGGCTGAAACGACCTCTAACATAATCCAGGCCAGCCTAAAAAGCTGTTCTAAGTTATTGCTGCTTCCTGGCTCATGTCAGCATAGTGAGTGTTATGGTCCCAGCCCACCTTGTGCTTGACTCCTCTTTGAGCAGGGAAAAACAAGAAGCAAAGAGCCCTGAGCAGTGCCTATGTGCCAGCTGTTTAGTTCCCATCTCCCATCACTCCCCTCCTGCTGAATGGAACCAAACTTCTGCCTTAACCGTTTCCCTTGGACAACATCTACCTGCTCATTAACTCTGTGACTCAGCTCTCTTAGCAGCTTGATTTTGTAGGGAATTTTTGACATAGCCTCTTCTTTACCCCAAAGAATTCTTTGCCCAGAGGGGTGGTGGATACCTCATCCTGGAAACATTCAGGGCTGGGTTGGATGGGGCTCTGAGCAACCTGATCTAATTGAAGATGTCCCTACTTACTGCAGAGGAGTTGGACTAGATGACCTTTAAAGGTCCCTTCCAACCCAAACTATTCTATGATTCTATGACTGAAAAAATGCTTAAGATTAATATTTACTGCTGAACAAATAAATAGAGCTCACAGTTTTGTTACTTTTTTTTTTCAAATGTCATGGCTAAACCACTCTGCAAGCTGTACCTTTGCAGCCCTGATCTCACAAGCACTGCTCAAGCACCTTGCCTCCAAGGAGCAGCATTGATTATAACATCTGTGGGAGCAATTAGGAATCATGTGCTTTTCAGCATGCTGCCTCTTTTTCCAGCCCCCCCTTGCAAAGAGTTTGCCTGGAGAGAAAGGCTACTGCTATTCCCTCCTTGGCTTTCAAAAGAGAATTAGCTGGAATTATCCTCTCCAGAAATTTCTCCTTGGGTTTTTATGTGATATCTGTGTTTATTCTGTAGCAGAATGGAAAGGTGCTGAGCAGGGAGGATGGTATTCATGGCAGGTGAAGCCCATCAGCAGGAGGCGGTCCTTTAAAAGCAGGGGCTGTAGCTGAATGGGCACTTGGCTAAAGGCTGGCTGATTGGAGGCAGCTAAAGGGGCTCAGATCCTGTGGGCCTGCTGGGAGCAGGCTTTTTGCAAAGGCTGGGCCCTATAAAGTTCCTTCAGCAGCTTTGCCCTTGGTGACCTACCTCATCCAAAGGACAAGCTCAGAGTGTGGTGCGAGCACAGGTAGGCTGTGTGTCTGATTCCCCATGCTGAGACAACCAGTGCTGTGCTCAGGGTTTCCCAACTCCTCTCTCTCCTGCTTAGCTGAAGATGGAACAAACTCTGGGTTTTCATGTGAAGGTTGTTTAAGTGGTGGCTGTGAATGAGTGGATGGAGACAGCTACTCTCTGTTGAATGGAGTTAAAACATCTCCTACATCCCCTGAGGGCCTTGATGCTAAGACACATTTTCTTTTTGGTTCTGGTTCACTGCTTTGTGGTGGGAGATCCATGCTATCAGCTGCATGAAAGAAGATGTAGCTGTGCCAGCCTAGCTGCCCCTATACAAAATTGCTGTGGTCCAAAAGATGTTCTGTAGACTGCATTGTGTCTGCTGGCCCTAATTTTTAACATGAGCTGGTGCTTGAGCTGGAAGCATTGCTGCCATCCTGGTGAAGAGCTGCTAGTTTCCTGGGCCTTCAGAGCCTGTTGACTTGTTATCCTCCCACCAACAGCCAAGCGAGCCAGAACATGCGTCATCTTTTTCCCCATGTGGTCAGTGTGGAGGGTTGGATGGTGGCTGACCTGTGAGCTGCCTTCCCAGCAGAAAAGGGGTGGGTGGAAAGGTCTTGCTTGAACTTGTTTTTGTGTTTTGGTACTGGCTGGTGAGGCAGAAGTGGTGAGTCAGCCTTGCCCTTTGGCAGCTGCCTGCTAGTCAGCTCTCTAGCCTTGCTCTCACAAGCCAGGTGATTTTCCAAGAAATGGGTGGGAGGAGAAAACTTTCCCCAGCCAGAGGACAGCTAGACGGCATGGCTGTGAGCCAGGGGTAGTTCTGGGGTTCTGTATTCCCACTGCCCCTGTGCCCAAAGGCATGGGCTGCTCTGCTTTTGCACAGTGATTGCATAAACATACTCCTAGGTCTCCTCTTGAAACCTCGCAGACCTGAAGGAATTCTGTTGTACAAACCTGGTTGATTTTTTTTTTTTTTCCCTCAACCCCTAAACCAAGGGGTAACCCCATCTGCTGTGGAACTCCTGTGTTTTGCTGGGCTATGAGATGAGGAATGTGAGTAGAGGTGTAATTTAGTCTAGTGGGCAAAAGTGGGGCTTGGGATCAAGTGTAGATATAGCACTGCTTGCGAAGCACTGTGTCTTGCAAATGAAAAGCCTCCAGGTTTTTCATTCAAGGCTGTGCAGCCTTGCCCTGCAGTTTAGTTTCAACTAGAGAAAAGGGGAATCTTGAGAAGCATGTCCATGTGTTGTTGGTTGGATCCTCCTCCAGCAAAAGACTGTTAACATGGAAGATGAGTTTAGGCAGAGAAGGGTTGTGTTTGGTGCCCCACATTGAATTGATGCTGGGAATTGTGGGGACAGCATCCGATCTGTGTCCTGGGTGCAGGACCGCAGGACATGCTGGTTCACCTGGGATTTTAACTGTAGCCAAGCACGGAATTGAGCCAACACCACATCATGGTGGCAGTGGTCTGAGCAGCTGCCCTCTGCCAGGGGTCTGAGCAGAGGGCAGCTCTCTGCTTTCCCGTGGGTCTTGCCCATCGTGATGCTGGTAATGTGCAGATACCTTCAGCTCTGCCACAGCTCTTAGCTGAGCTGAGTCTTGGACATTTGAAGTGTGGGAGTATGACATGACTGCTGTTACATCTGAGTGCCTGTTATGTTGGGCTGTGAGCCCTGGTGTAGAATACCCAACAAACTGTAGGCTTGGGGAAGTGGTAAAACTGGATTTCTAGAGGTCTGAGGTACCTGATGGTGTCTGTAGGCCTATAATGATGTGTTTTTCTTCTTTGATCTCTCCCCCACCTCTAGGTCTCCACGACAGTCTTATGAAGAAGAGGATGGTGGTGTGAGGGAAGCAGAAGGCAAACTGGAGCAGCTTCAGCTGGATCGGGAAAGCCCGGAGGAGATCCGGGAGGAGAATGTGGTTATCAAAGAGGAAGAAAGGTTGTGTCAGGAGGAAGAACAGGCCCAAGAGCAGGAGGAAGGGGAGCAAACCAAGCAAGAGGTGGGATCAGGAGGAGCTGACTTTCTTTCTTCCAGAGGACTGGTGGGAGAGCTGGTACAGGGGCTGCTCTCCCGGATCTTAGTTCACCATTGCTGTTTATGCTGCTGGGTGCTGAGCCATTAGAGGGTTAGATATGCTTTTGTGGTGTAACCTGGGGCTTGTGCTACTCTTGCCTATATGCCTTCTTGGGGTCACTGCAGGCAGGCTCTGCCCTTTTGTGAGGGTGGTGTGTTTGCTGCCAGAGTTTGTGGTGGTTTTGCCATGTCCCTGCAATATTGAGGGGGAAAGCTACTTCTGTGGTTTTCAGGGCAGTGAATAGTTTTAAAGGAGAACTCAAATCTAAATTGTACTGCTTGTTTTTCTCTCACCAGCCTTTGTCACATTTTTGTAGCACTTTGTCTTGATAGATCTCTTAGTCTTGTGTTGCTCCCAGCTGAGGTTTTCTTTCATTGCTCTGATAATTTCTGTTTAAGGAGAGACAGAGACAAAGCTGGAACTTGAGTGGTGTGCAAGTCCATTAGGGTGGCTGAGCTTTAAATGTCATTTGTTCTAAATGGATTTTAACTGAGGATTTTGTCTGAGGCTGGTATGATTTTTGCATCTGAACTGTGTGTGACTCTTCCAGCCCTTCATTCTAAGGGCAGCTTCTCTCTCTCTCCTTGTGGCCTCTGAATGAGAAATTCATGGTTTCTTATCTCAGTCGAGTAAGAAGTCTGTATTAACTGGCACAAGGACTCCTATTCATACCATTTGGGAACCTTGAACCTGCAAAATTTGTGATTTCTGCCCTCCCTTCCAAATGATACATGAGCTTCTTCCTGAATGTTTCCAAATCAGATTATATGAACTCAAAGTTTCTGCACTTTCATGTTTGTTTAGTGAAAAGCAGGAAGCCTGGGAGACAGGAAAAATCACTGTTGTTGCATAATAAGCAGTTTGACCATCTCACTTCCTGGCTTGTTAATTTTCTGCACTCAGGAAAAGAAGAGAAGAAGAAATGAGGAAGAAGAAACACCGGAGAAACGCCAGAAGGCCCCAAGCCTTACCAGCCTGGAAGAGGAGGAGCTGTGCTCTGACCACACTGCAGTGTGCTCCACGAAGGTTTGTGTTCTTGGGGCCCCTCTGGAGGCACAGCAACTATTGTAATAGAGCACCTAACTAATGATGAGGAGAATGATCCCAGCCTTATGGCAATGTGGGGTGTGAATCATGTTATCTGTCCTGCTACAGGCTGGGACTAACCACTCGAGCAGTTTGCTTCATCTTCCATGGTTGTCCACCTTCTCTCCTCCTACTTTGCCTGTTTGAGCTGTTGAAGGCTGTAACAGTCTGTGTGTTTGGCAATCACTGTGAAAGTCTGAAGTTCATTGAGGACTCGAGGGAATATTGTAATACTGAGAAAGATGTCTGTGCTTTCAACTTGTGAATTTGGTTAAAAACTATACAAGAACTCAATCAGAAAATGAAATTTCCCTTCCAAAGAAAAAACCCCACAAAAAGCCCCAGTAACTGAAACACTAGCATTTCTCTATCTTACTTGGAGTAAAATGTATGACTTAAATTGTTTAAACAAACTGGAATTCCTGATCTCTGAAGCATCGTGTCCTTCCCAGTCACATCTGTCTGCACTGATGCTCTTGTGAAGCTTCTGTTATTAGCGCCACCTGACTTGCACCTTGTGACTTACATTGCATTTCCTATAGATTCTCAGTTCTGTGCGAGTGCTTTTAAATACAATAGATACAGATAAGCGATTCTGCACTGAATGTTCTTTTGTCTTTGTAAGCCCTAAGCTTTTTGATTGTAGCAGTGAGGGAAATAGTGAGGAGTCTGTGTAGCCTGTTAATCTTCTGTTGGTATTATCTTTGCTTTTTTTTGCATTTAGATCTGTGCTATTTGCTGCTTAGTCAGCATTTCCTGGCTAGGGATGATTGTTTGAGCACTTTTTTTCATCAGTAAATAGATTGCAAGAGGAAGGTTTCATCATCTACAACCATCAGATTCTTGCTCTTAATGGAGAAACCTTTTTTATAAAGGTTTTTAAATAGGTTTTTAAATTTTATAAACCTTTTTAAATAAAACGAGGGGAGACAGGGTGGGTTTGGATGCAGGCTATGTAAGGTTTGAAAAGTGGGGTGGGGGTAGCCAAAGCGTATTCCTGGAATGGGACCGGTGGGGAAATGTGGGAAACACTTTCAGCAACTTTTATGAAACTTCTGTCATTACAACCCCAAAACACACATAACTTCTTAACCTCAGCTTAACTGCTGCTGCTTGGATTAACCCAGGGAAAGGTTTTTAGAAATACAGTCTGTGTTTTATGATGATGATGTCAGAGCTCACCCCTACGCCAAGCTGGATGTAAAGCTGTTCAGGAAAAATCTGAACTTGGAATCTTTCCAAAGGAAGGATGATCTTTACACCCTAGCCAGCAGGGCTTTGTGACCACTAAGAACTAAACACCTTGACCACCGAGCTGTTTTGGCACAGGAAGCTCAACAGAAACCCTGCTTGTAGTGGAAAGACAAAAGCATCTGCAGTCAGCAGTGTGTTCCCTTGCCAGCTGTGGCTGGTGGAGGCTAGGTACACATCTGGGGTGGGCTGATGTTGGATTGCAGTGTGATTGGTTGGGGTGTCCAGGACTCAGAGGGCCACCGTGGCCTGAGGGGCTGAATAGGTGTATGGTGGAAAGGGGGAAGCCTTGTACCAGTCCTGTTTTGTCCCAGGCTGCTTGTGAGCCACGAGCTTTGAGGTTGGCTGAGTAAACAACTGTGGTTTCTTTTGGCCTACAGAAAGTGCTTTGGACCAGAGAAATACACAACTCTTGCTGCAAGGAATTGCCATACAGGGTAGGGGGAGGTGGTCTCCAAATAGCATAGTGAAAGTTTGTTCCTACCTAGACTGTCATGCTGGGATATACTGTCACTTATAGCTTTTTCTGAGCCCCTCTAGAAAACCCCTGTTTAACCTGATGCTCATTTACAACCTTTCAGAAGCCCCTGTGGGTGGTTTGCGCCTCTCAAGGCTTTTTGCTATTGATATGTACTTGTGGTTGAGAAGCAGAGACATGGGCAGGGATCTGCCAGGTTGCCCTTTCAGGTTACTGTTATGCACCATGAGGTAGCAGCCTGCCCATCAATGAGCTGGATGGTCAGTCCAGTCTGAAGTCACGGCTCAGAGGCCAGCATCACTTCCTTTAACACCAAGGAAAGGAGTGAACTGGCAGCAGGCAGGCAACCTGCCTGGCAGAAAGAGCTGGCTTATGGGCTTCTCTCGTGCTGCTGTGTTGGGACCCTGCAGAGTGGCTCTCCCCATGTCATCTCTATTAGCCAGGGTTGCACTGTTTAGTTGTTCTCTAATAGACCTTCTGCTCTTTGGCACAGCCGGTAAATGTGTCCTCTATGTGACACTGTCTTGTCTTCTGTTTAGCTAGAATTTAGCACTGATTTCCTGAAAGCATCTTAAAAGGATCATTCAGTGCTGTTTTTTATCTGCTAACTTGGTAGGTGATGTTTCCTGTGGCACAGGCAGCAGTTTTACAGGGGGAGAAGGCTCCTTGTTACTTGGTTGCTGCTCCTTGACTCTGTGGGAGCTGGTGTTAAGAAAGCTTCCCCTTTGACTTCAAGGTGATTTTTCTCTCTGTATGCTTGTTTTCTGGGGCATGAAAAAGTTGCGATGTTTAGCAACATTTGGGCTTTCCTTTCCTGCAGTGGTTGTGAAGTGCTTGCTTGCCTTCCTGTCTTGGCCAAAGAGTTACTGCACAGGAGCATCTGGTGCAAAACTCTTTCCTGATGGCTTGACATGAAGAGCTGCCTTGCAGGTGGCTCCATGTGCTGACTTGCCCTGTCTGTGTTCTTCTCTGGTCTAAGCTGATCTAACTCATGCCTGTGCTGCTCCCATGCTTGGCTTTTCTTCCATGTAGCTGGCAGTACCTCTATTTTCCCCCCTTGTCTTTCCACATTTGCCACTTTCCCTGTTGTGTCTGGCCAGGGAATCAAGTGTCTGGGAGAAACTTGCTCCTGATCAGAGTGAGTAGAGAAAACAGTCTTGGTTGTTGCTTCAGCTGTCAGTTAAGCTGCACATTGTTGGTTTGCCCCTGAAACTGGTTGGGATTCTGCTCACCTGCCGTGGAAAGAAGGAGGAAAGGGAATGCTCACTGTCTCTCAGCAGCATGGGAACATGGGACTGAGCGAGGCATTTTTAACCAAAATATGGGTGAGGGATCAGGGAAAAGAAAATGGTCTTCGGGGGTGACTACATTCATCTGGGGTCCATAGAAAAAAGTAATATCTTTGTCTTTTTTTCTCCCACTTCAGATCACGGACAGAACTGAGTCGCTGAACCGCTCAATACAGAAAAGGTATTTCTAGGGTTGACCTCAGGGTAAAGCAGGTCACTGCAAATGGAGGATACCAGCAGGTCCTGCTGTGGGGAAGGGCAGAAGTGACAGGCTGCCTGTGGCCCCTGAAGTTCTTCCTTCTGCTTGAAGTGCTGGGGGAACACATTAATCCTTTTCTCTCCTCTGCTCTGCAGTAACAGCATAAAGAAGACTCAGCCTCCCCTCCCTGTGTCAAAGATTGATGACAGGCTGGAGCAGTACACACAGGCTATTGAGGTGGGCTGCTGTGTTGTCTCTGTCCCCACCCTCCAAGGAGCCCCCTTTCCTGGTGTTGCTCTCCTCCCGTGCCTCTTAGCTTTACCATCTGGGAGATGACAACTAAATTGTCTCCTCTGGATGGGAGTGCTGCTTGCTCCTGTCTGTATCTCCCTCCACAGCACAAAGTAGTCTTTTTTTTTTTTTTTTAGCAAGCTGTCCCATCCTTGTTTCCTTATGTTCCCTTCTAAAAGGATGGAAGTTTCTGACAGGAACTAGTTAGACTCTACAAGTCTCCTTTCATAGCCCCTCATCCCTGAGGACCTTTAATTACAGGGGTTAAAAAAAAAAAAGTAAAAGCACACTCTTTAATGGTGATGTGTCTCCATTTGTTTTCCAGACATCCACAAAGGCTCCAAAACCTGTCCGGCAGCCCTCTCTTGACCTTCCCACCACAAGCATGATGGTAGCCAGCACAAAAAGCCTCTGGGAGTCTGGGGAAGTCACAACTCAGTCTGCTGTGAAGCCCTCTGCTTGTAAGGTATGGCACATGGAGGACTTGCCTTGCTTGTGCAGGAGGCGAGGGACTGGCCCCTGGGCACAATGTGCATTGCTCCTGTGTTAGCCTGTTGGTGTGGCTCGTTCATGGTGCCCAACACCTCCCAAGAGATTCAATCTCTTCTACCAGGTTGCGAGGCCTCTTACCTTGGAGATTCAATTTGTCTGTGTTAGGGTCCCCAGTTGTCCCTTGGTGGTGCAGCTAGGAAAGCCTCTGTGATGCTGGTTGAGGCTCCAACTTGAAATGGGAATAAAATTGGCTGGTGGGGAGGATGCATCTGTCTTCTGCAGGGGCTTGGGCTGAGCTCCAGTTGTTTGAGCACAAAGTTGATCTAGTACCAAGGTGATAAATCTTGTAAATTTGGAAAACGCGTACAATATTATGTATTGCTCTAAATGATTTCACTTTCTGGTTGTTGTGATTGAGGCTGATTCTGTAACACATTGGTTGCAAATCTGTGTATATGTGAGCAAAATTCTTTCCACTCAAGAAGCTTTGATGGTAATGTGTCCTAAATAGTTAGCAAACTTAAGAAAATAAACATCATGGAACTGATTCATCCTCTCATTGAAGAGACTTAGAGGAAAACATAGGATATATACTGGGAACAGGAAGAAGTTTTCAAGATCATAGGTTTTAGCTGCAGCTGTTATAGGTCAGATGATGTGATATAAATAAAAAAGGAGGTCAGATGTGTGGGTTTGAAATGGACACGAACAGAGGCACGTACAGCAGCATTAGCAGTGAAGGGTAATGAGAACATCATCTTCTCAGGATATCGTGGCTGGAGACATCGTGAGTAAAAGAAGTCTTTGGGAACAGAAGGGCAATCCCAAACCTGAGAGCAATATCAAGGTGAGCTACTGTCTGTGAGTATTGAGAGCACTTGCTCTGCTGAAAAACACTTGGCTGGAGCACTTGGCTGGATTGGAGGTATTGAGAAGATGATGTTCTACAGGGACAAGGGCTACCTGTACCTATCAAAGCAATTGCATATCTAAGAGCTCTTCCTAACAGTGAAATACTATTGCTTCAGCCCTAGTGAAAATGGGGGCAAAAATTAGTTTTATATCCAGTAATGCTGTAAGGTCTCTTGAATAGTTTGTTCTCAGCCCATGAGCTGGGAGTCTCAGCCTTCTAGCTCCAATGGAACTGCAAATGTTGAGTTACTTTGCTCTTGTTATGTTTTTTAGTATTGCAAGTAAACAAAACATGCAAAACTAAGTGGAACTGAACCTAAGGCAGTATCAACATTTGCAGATGGATCTGGATTTTGTGGGAATGTTTGTAGAAATGTCTTTTAAAATGCATCAAGGAGCAACTGCTCAAACTCTCCAGGCTGGGAGAGGAAAATCAAAGTATCTTGTCAGTTCCTGGCTTGGAGCTGCCAGTATATGGTAAATAAAACCAATTTTTGCCATGGGTAAAAACAACCCTGGTTTGGGGGGTCTGGGCTCTGAGGTGAGTCTTCCCTCACAATGCCTGGCATTGCATCTTCTCTTTCCTATTACACATCCTGTGCTTGCTGTGTTATCCTGTGCTTATAGAAAGTGATGATGGATCTGTGCAAAGAACTTGTGTGGAAGGGACCAGAAGGGAGTACAGAGCAGGCTGTCTCCAAGACTTCTGGTATTAAAAACAACTGTATCATATACTCATCTGGCTTCAGTTATTTGATCTTGACTGTCTATTTAATGGAGAAAAATGCTGACTTTGGCTCTTTCTTTCTCTCCTGTTCAGTCCGTTCCTTCTGGCAAAAAGTATAAATTTGTTGCAACAGGCCATGGCCAGTACAAGAAGGTGTTGATAGATGACACTGCAGAGCAATAGTATGCCTGGAGAACTCATTAACCAGGTAGGTGGGATATGACCTTGCACTGTGTAACAAAGTCCTGGACTCTTCTGGCAGGATGTTGGGTTATTTCTGCCAGCTGCACTTTGGGTGAATTGGAAGGTCCTGTATGGGAACATCTGGAGCCTTGCTTCCTCTGGGCCTGACTGTCTGAGCTGGAACAGTGTGGGTACATAGCAGGGGTTTGGTTTTGCCTCTGACTTTCTGATGCTGATAGGAAGCTGGATACCTGTGTTAGTTTAAACTTCAGGATAAGTCCCTTAGCTGCTGCTGTTTGGGTGAAGATGTGTTTGCCTTTGCTAGTTCAAAGGAACAGTCTCAATAAGCTCTCTTTTTTTATGCTCTCTTATGTCGCAAGGAGAAGTAGATATTTGGAGGTCATTCTGTCTGAGCATGGGGCTGATGTACTTCTGAAATTCAAGTGTTTCTGGGGTCTAATTCCCAGATTTACTGAATTAATTATGGGGAAAACTTTTCATGGCTCCAGTAGCCTCTTGGAACGAGTCGATAATAAGGTTGTAGCAGGGAGGATGTGAGCAGCTGTTGTGCTGGGTAGACCAACAGAGCAGAAAGAACTACTCTCTGATGTGCAGCAAGGGGAAGGCAGGGCTGGGTTACTGTCTCTGCTCTCTTGAAATGGCTTTTGGATCTCATGTTCCTATTGTGTTTGTGCTCCTAGACACCCTGCTGTTATCTTGAGTGGATGATAGTGGATTGCATCAATAAGGAAGAATGGTGTAGAGGGAGGTGATAACCAGTTGGATCCAACTGGGCAGCATCTGGCACAATGAGTGGAGAGGAAGTTGTTGAGGGTGAAAACAAGCTCATTCTCTCTTTTTGCTACTATAAAAAAGAAGCTTTATTTCTTAGCCAAGCTTATAAATAGCTCTGTCTGCTACAAAACACCTTTTGTTTCTGAATTCTTCTGGGACCTGTGTTCCTTCCCTTCCTTCCCCTCCCCCCCTTAAGGAGATGGCTTCTGAGTGCAGCATATTGTTTTGTTTGTTTCGTTTTTTAGTGCCCATTTGGAGGAGGAGCCCTTTTGAGTGCTACTCTGAGAAGAGCAGCAGTACAAAACTCAAGGCTGCCCAGAGATATGTTTTTAGCCCACAGAATTTGTATCCTCAGCTTACTTCTCTGCCTGTGACTTTCAGAAACCTATTTTAAGGTCTCCTCTTTGATCAGTCTCTTCATTTTCCAGAAGTCTGTTTCAGTGTACCAAGTGGGAGCCTACTGAGCTTCAGTTCTTTATAGCAAACAGGTTTTGCTAGGTTGTCAGCAGGTTTGTTTGCCCTACCTGAGCTTCTCTAAGCAGCTCAAACGAAAGTGCCTTTGGCTCTGGTCTTTGCCTTTCAAGAAAGGATGCTGGGCAGGGACTGTCACGGCATGTGCTCTAGGATCCACCCAGTACTCCAAACAGCTGTGGCACAACACTGTTGCACTGTGGGTTTGTTCAAAAGGAAGTTGGTTTTTTTTTTTTTTACTGTGAATAGCAAAATGACTGCAATAGCTGAAGGAGCTTGGTTTGTTTCTTTTCTTAGGTTTTTAGCTGGCTGTTTGGTACGCTGTGAGATCACTGCTCCCCAGCTCCTCTCTACCTCCTGAACTATGTTCATCCTTTTCTGTACTATTGAATCACTTTGTCCTTGCCTTCTTGCTCCCAAACCCTTCTGGATTACCCCTGTGTCACTTCCTTAACACCACCTTATCAGCTTTCTAGTTGCTTAAGCACAGGTACAGTTTTTCTTCCTCCCCTTCCTTCCTGAGCTCAGTGCAGCCTTTGAAGCAAGAGGTTTTCTCTGAGTGGCAGTTTGGGCTCCTAGCCCTCTGCCTGAGGCTGTTTGACATTGAAAAGAACCAAATTCTGTGCCCATTAGCATCCCCCTTCCCTTGCTCAGCACAGCAGCTCAGACTGGGACATACTGCACTGACTTCCAATGCAGAGCCATTAGTGAAAATCTGTTGCTTACAAGACTCTGTCCTTTGTGATACTCTCATGTCAGGGTCTGTCTCTGCCGAACTTGCCATGCTTGTTGTGTGTCTCTGTCCTTTGCTTTTGGGGTAAAAGGGCTTAAACCATGCATCCAGACCTGCCTTCCTTTGCTTCCTTCCTTCTGTTTGGGGGAATCATTCTCCTCAATGGCATTTCTCCATCCTTCATTCCTGTGCAGTGGGGCTGGGTTTGTGGATGCAGCCTGGTTGAAAGCACAGCAGATGCAAAACATGTAAACCTTAGGTGAGAGTTGCTGGTTTGTTCTGGGTGGTTGTCCTTGCTTCAGGACAAAAGCTGGATTAAAGCACAATTGCTTCTTAAACCATCCTCTCTGGCCAGATTCACTTTGTCTCCCAAACGTAACTGATGTTGGCTGTTCTTCCTCGTGTTAATTCTATGGATCTCATGCATGCTGATTCCTAAGCATAGGCATCCATCCACTGTGCTTCAGTAAGGTGCTGTTTATTGCTCATCTTTATCTGCATTAGGCATTCCACATTTTACACAGCACTCTTTGATTTCTGTGTTTGTGTTGCTGTGTGGATCTCTTTCTATAGCCTTCTCTCCCAGCAATGTTAAATTATCCTGCAGAGGCTTACCTAGCATCCACTTGTGATTACTGGTGTGTTTCCAACCTACCTCTTTTCAGCTTTTTCTTGGAAAAGTGGGGGAGGGGGTTGGAGAAATCCTATCTTTAGATAATTGGGTTATCCTCTTCCCCCCCCCCATTGAATAGGAAAGGGGTTACAAAATAGAGAAGATAAGACCAGCAAAGTGAAAACTTAAGTGAAGGTTTGATGATAAGTGAGCTGTTCTTATAGCATCATTACAAAATTGGAAGACTTCAAAAAAGCAAAAGGGGTTCTTTGTTTTGTTTCCAAGTCTCTTCACAGTTTGACTCGAGGAAATTTTGGTCAGTTCTGTATCCTCTATACACAAAAAGAATATAAAGAGCTGTGTATGGAGTTTCCTATTTGGACTAAACACGGCAATCCTATATTAGCTGTGTAGGAACACCCTAGCCTATGACAAAGTCCCTTGTGAAACAGAAATAGCTGATCTCCCAGCTTTCAGGCTCATAAACCTGCTGGCAATGAAGTTGCAAAGGGTGACTAATACTCGAAAGCACAGCTGTCTCTTGGATGGGCAGAGCTGGGGACTTTCCTTTTAAATACCCTCTTTTTTTCAGGACATCAGGGACAAGTAGGTAGGCAAATACCATGATTTTCCTCTTGAAAATGAGACTACATGTGGTTAGCAGAGCCCCTAAAAAACCAGTATCTTGTTAAATACACAGAGTTGGATACCAATGTGCTCAAGAAGGCTCGTTTAGTTGTGGAAACCATCATCTGTATTTGAGAAAATGATAAAATACGTAACAGAACTTGACTACTGAAATAGTCTTCTGTGCACTATGATTTAGTAGACTGACCTAGGAGGATGTCAAGTGATAATGCCTGTTTTGTTAGCCAGGGGAATTGCTTTGTGAGAGCGGGATATCTTGTGCTGTCCCTTGTCTGTGCTGGTGAAAGGATGAGTTTCTATTTTGTTCTCAGCAAATGGATGAGGGGTGCACTCTCAGTGGAGGAGATAGAGAAGATAGCTCAAAATGTATGTACTCTCTTTGTGTGTGTTTTCTAAGACTCCCTAGAGATGTGGAGCAACCCAGATTCCTTCATATCTCATCTGCAACTGCTGCTGCTTCCAGGATCAAGATAGGTCTTAGATAAACACAACAAAAACCCTAAGATTCTATTATCCTTCTTTAAACTGGTCTTTTTCTACTGGCAACTTGTCACCTTCACTGTGTCCTTCCCCTCTGTTCCCTCTGGTACTTCATCCAGTGCTGCTTGTTGGCTCTGTTTAAAACAAGCACATACCTGTTTTCCTGTGACCTGTGGATGTGGTATGTTATACACTTAAGCTTATAAACATACGGAGAGTAGCCCTTAAACCTGCAACATGAGACTGCTGGCTTTGAGGGGTTTTATTTAATTTCCTTGTTTTCCTTACACTTGGCTTCAATGGACAGTAAACCTGGTCCTAGGTGTTCTCTTGCTTGGGTGCCCTGTAGGAATCTCCAGAGGCATGGAGCTGCCTGGCTTCAGTTGGCTGACCATCCTGATGCTGTTCTGTTAAAGCTCTTGGTGTGCTCCTCAGCTGATTTGGGTCTAAAGCGGCTCAGTTCAAACACCATGCTGATCTTTGTCATGGGTTTGGTAGCCAGTTCCTTCAGTTTCCGGGCGTCAAAACGTGGCTTATGCAGAAGGATGGGCAAGCGGCGGGGAAGAAAGATGTTTTCTTCCTTCCGTGACTTCTTCTCTTCTGCTTGCTGCTTCGTCTCCTTGTTGAGTGTCACCTGGTATAAAATAGCATCCCACATTTTCATGGCTCTTGATTTAAACAGCATGCAGTCTTGGTTGATGACTGCTTGAGCAGTGTCCTCTTTACTCCCTTCCTCCTGTTCCAGCTTTTCTGGCTTGGGCTCTGGGAAGCTGGGTGCTTCTGGCTGTACCATCAAGTGCTTCCTGAGGCGATGCCAGCCACTGGCACTGGTTCCAGATGGTCTTGCTGCTTTTACTGATGGTGGTGCTGGCTCAGCTTTGAGGGGAAGGCTGGTGTTGGGTAAGCTGGGGGTCAGTTGACTTTGAATGATGTCTTCTGCCTTGGTGTCTGTGGAGGTGAACCCAGTACCATCAGCTTGTGCTGGCGTTGCTGTTGGTGGGCGTGCTTGCCTCCAGGGAGCACTGGATGTCGTTTGTTTTAGGATGTCTCTGTTTTCCTTGGGTAATTCAGAAGCTGTCTCTGATCCAGATATTTCAGTGTCACTTCCATGAGTTGTAGGCATATTACTGTGGGCATCAGAGGTGCTTGGCTTGGGTGAAGGGGCCTTGATGGACTCTTCAATAGGAACAGGCTTGGGAGCTTGATCAGGAGGTTCTGTGTCTGCAGCAGGAAGGAGGGGAGGTTCCAACAAGGGAAGTGTGGCGTTGCTGACATCAAGTGAGGTGGGTATGTGCTCTGGAGATGGTTCAGAGCAGCTTGTTTGAGGTGCTGGGGAAGAAGGCCTTTTGTCTTCATGGCTTACGGTTCCTTGTGTCAGGTTCAATGTGGGAGTCTTAGCCCTTGGTGGCTTGACACTGTGGAAATAAGTGTTCACCTTGGTGACGTAGGTAACCTCTGGTGCCCTTTCTTTACTGGAAGGAGGAGGCTGGGGGAAAACAGATGGGTCACATGGGGAGGGAAGGTGGGAGCCCATGTCTTCTGGCTGATGTGTAGTCTCGGGAGCCTCTGGTTTGTGTAGCAGGGGCATGGCTGAGGAGGTTGTGAGCAGGACATGTTCAGCAATGCGCCTCTGCTCAGTGACCTTCAGTGTGAAAGGCTTGCCCTTTCGGAAAGGGGAGGGGGCGCGGTGGTTGACGGGCCTGATGGAGATGTGAGTGGGCAGGCTGGTAGAGGGGGATGCTGTGGTTTCGGGGATCTCTGCTGGGGGAGTGCTTTCATCGTACTCCTCTTGGTCAGGGCTGGCCTCGTTCACAGGTGAGAGGCTGGACCGGAAGGACTTGGCTTGCTCTGAAGCAAAGACAGCATTCTTTCTGGCTGCCTTTTTCAGCAACCGTTGGAGCCGCACATTGTCCTTCCCAGGCTTTGGTAGGGTGGGAGGGGGAGAAAGGTGGTGGTGGATGGGAGCAGGCTGGATGGAGGATGATACTGTTATCAGCATTGTCATTTCCTGTGGAAAAAAAGAACAAAGTTCAGAGGTGGTGTGGGCTTAGCCCTGGTGGGCTAGGTTCTGAAGCATTCATACATAAGTCTTCCTCTCTCTAAAAGCTGTGAGTATGGAGGAAGTACTGCGGGAGAAGAGCATCAGTCTTGGTTTCCTTACTCTCCTGACATAACCTCAGCCAGTCTTGAGGGTGGGTGTGGCAGGGCAAGAGATGTACTGGGGGAAGCTGTATTGCCAAATCTGGAGCTCTTCCTCTCCTGGCATTAGCACAAAATCCAATAAGAGCTCTTTGGGACCCCAGACGTTCGTGTCTTGGCAAGTCCTAATGGGATTTGGAAGGAAACGTTGAGGGGAAACAAAGTGGGTCTGAAATCTTGAAGCTTTGAAACATCTCCAGAGGCACAAACCAGGAATGTTTCATGGCTTTCCAAATTTTGGTTATTAATACTCTGATACAATGTTACATACAACAGAACAGTCATAAACTACATGTGTCATCTGAGTCAAAGTCAACACTTGCCTTGATTGATTTCATCTGGCTGAAGACACCCCTGTGAAATGCAGGGCTTCTCAAAAGCTGCATTTATCAGTGAGAAAGTGCTTTGTCACAGCACTAACTTGGACTGATCTTTTCTTGCTGCATGGAGCACAGGGACAAATTTTGCCTCCTGCACTCCATTCTAGATAAAACCAAGTTTTCTCTTTCCCTTGGGAAGCTTTGCCACTGTCTTGCCTCTATCACTTACTATTCAGTGAAACAGAAGTGGCTTGTGGTCTGGGTCAGGTCTTATCTCCAATGGCAGTTGCAGCCCTTTGGCCAACACTGGGCTACTCCTATGGGGAAGCATGGCTGCTTTTCCTGCTCTGCCGCTAACTCACCACCATCTCCTCTTCTTTCTGGTAAGCACTGGTCAGACTTCCTGACGATGGAGCTAAGGGTCTGTGTTGGGGATAGAAAGACAAAGCTGCTCTCAGTTCTCCCCTTTCTCTTCCTGAGCAAGATGGGGAGCACCAAACACTCAGCCTCTGACCTGCAATGACTTTTTGGCAGCCACTAGAAAGAAATCTGACTCAATCCTGGCTCTTGCTCAGCACAGAGTTGCTGAGTTTTGCTATGAAATGAGACATAAATCACTGAACTCCATAGTCCCTGGTGGTGGATGCAACTGAGCATCCTGAAATAAGGAAGAGGAGGCTGGGGTGATGTCAGGCTTGCTCAGAGGGGCTATTTATTGCATGTGTTTTTCTTGGTTCCTGGTGGCTCCCAACCTGCTCTGGTTAGAATGGGTGTGTAGCATGATACCTACTGTGTGGGAAAGCTATCCTGAATCAAACTCTCAAAAGTGCAGAGCAGCTATTTGTGCTTCAGTGCCTGGTGTTAGCTTTGGGTTTGCAGTGCTGCTGTCAGCACTGGGCTGGGAAGGTGATCCAAACTGAGCAAGCAGGTGGTGTATCTGCCAAAACTCGTTGTGAATCAGCAGAGAAGGGTGACTCTTAAAAAAAAAAAAAGGCAGCAGCAAATACAAGCACTTGAAGCTTTTGAACACTACATGCTATCTCTTCAAGATCAAACCCTCACCGTGGTGGATGAGCTGAGCAGAGGCTGTGGTGGGCAGGGTCTGGGCAGTGTCTAGCAAGTGGTGCACTCAGTACAGGAAGGACATGGATCTATTGGAGCAAGTTCAGAGGAGGGCCACAGAAATGATCAGAGGGATAGAACACTCCTATGAGGATAAGCTGAGAGAGTTGGGGTTGTTCAACCTGGAGAAGAGAAGGCTCTGGGGAGACCTTATTGTGGCCTTTTAATATGTGAAAGAGACTTATAAGAAAGATAGGGACAGATTTTTAGTAGGGTATGTAGTAATAGGATAAAGGGTTACAGTTTTAAATTGAGATGTTTAAGACTAGATGTAAGGAAGAAGTTTTTTTTATGGTGAGGGTGGTGAAATACTGGAACAGGTTTCCCAGAGAGATGGTAGATGCCTCATCCATAGAAACATTCAAGGTCAGGTTGGATGGGGGTCTGAGTAGCCTGATCTAGTTGAAGATGTTCCTGCTCATTGTGTGGGCATTGGATGAGATGACCTTTAAAGGTCCTTTTCAACTAAAGGTCCTATTCAAACTATTCTGTGATTCTATGACTTATTTTGGCTGCAGGCATGAGAAACCTTCTGCAGTTTTGGTGAGGGGGCTTGGAGGGGATTTGTGCCAGCTGGGGGTGACAACTGTCAGACATTCCCAGTGTCTTATCAACTTCATGTTTTAGGCACAAGGCTGGGATTAGGATTTGCTTTGTTCTAAGAGCTACTCTTTGAAGCAAGTCTGCACTGTCCCCCAAAAAAGGCTGAGACCCCATTCTTCATCATATATCTGCTCTCCTTCCCAATTTCATGGATATTTTACATTCTTCTGGGTCAGAAAGCCAAAATGTCTGTTGGAGGGGTATGTACTTTTTTTTTTTTTTGGTGCAATGCCACTCTGGCTCTGTTTGTGTAGGAGTTGCTAATTGCTTGCTGAGGTTTTTTGTGCTTTTTTTTAAATCTGCTGAAGGGGGGAGCAAGTACATGCATCTGATGGTAGGATTTACTGTGGAATGATTTAATCTGCTCCTGTTTAATGTGGTCCCATGGACAGCCTGTACTACAAGATGAGCTATAGTCTAGCAGCACTGTTAAACCAGATTTATAAGGTTGACCTGCTTCAGGCTTGTATTGGGAATACTAAAGAGGTAGGGCAGCAAACTTCCCAACCACTGATCAGCTCATTGACTGCTTTGCTTGTCCCATGGACTGCTGCACCCCAGAAAAATGCAGCTTCCCACATGAGTCAGAGAATCCCTTGCCTGGGATTTGCTGCAAACTGCCAGATGCTACAGAGGAGGGCATGGGGATTCTTGACGTGGGAAGTTTAGATACAATATGCATGCACAAGGAAGGTTTTCCTTCTGTTCCCAAAGTTAGAGGCTGCTTTGTGCCCTATAACATCAAGATTTGTTCTCTTATAGTAGTCTGTGCTCTTGAAATCACTCTTGCTACTGTCTCAGCATCCCATCTGACTTGAAACCTGCTGTACTGTGGATCTTGGAGACCTTGTGGTGTGTAGTAACTTCCATGGCACATGACTGTATTGGAGTCTCTGTGCTTGACTAGTGAGGCAGAGAGATGCTAAGGGACAGCAAAAGGAAATCAGCTGTTAATTTATTTGCCTTCCCTGTGATGCTTGGCTTTGTTTGAGCCTCCTTCAGAGCTTTGTGTGCTCAGGAGAAATTCTGCAACAAGCAAGATTTGTCTTCCCCCCCCCCCTTGTGTTTGCTTCATTATGTGGCAAAGGGACACTCAGGCTTGCTTTATTACCAGTGGAAAACTCATGGACAATGGGGGAAGTACTGCCTGAGAAAGTTGTGTGGGTTTGTGATAAACTGGAAGGAAATAAAGATAGAAGTCAAGAGGCTTTCAAAGGGTTAAGTTTCCTTGCTGGTGGTTGAGTGCCCATGGGTGGATGTGTGGTCACCCACACTTGGACCCCAACTGTTCTCCTGACTTCACTCCATCTGCAATCAGCCCCAAATCAGGATTAGTGGGGAGAGTGTCAGCATGCGAGAATCATTTATCAAGTGATGGAAAACTCATTTGTGTCCTGGAGTCCCTTGGCTGCACCAGCTGTCGTGCGTGGAGCAGATGGAGAGCTGCAGGAACCCAACACCGCTGCAGATGGTCCCAAACCGAGCTGTGGCTGCCAGGGGCTGTAGGAACATACTCCGCTTCAGTTGCTTTCTTGGGCTTGGGAGCAAACCTGCTAATCTCCTCCTTTTTGGAGTGGGAGACAGCTTGGTAGAAGTGCAGCTGTGACCTCTGCTGGGCGTGCAGCCCTTGGCACCTGCTCTGCCATGAGCATGGACATTCCCAGAATGGTGGACTTGGACTGGGCTTTGTGAAAGTGGGTGGGAGAAAACCACCTGTAATTGCTAGACAAGATGCAACCCATGGTATTGCTCATGAGAGGTCAAATGGTATCCATAACCTTGTTATTTTCTTGTCTTGCAGCTGAGCTTGGTCCTGGCTCGATGCAACCCTCAATGCCACTATTTCCTCTGCTCCACAGAAGATAATTGAAGGATGTTTCTCTTCTGGCTGATGTCAGTCTGCTTTGGTACAGCCTGACTCCTCTTAGGGTGTGAATAATACCCCACACTGCCTTCAGATGGAAGAAAGGAACTATATCAGCTGGCAAAATCTATCTCTGTTTTAACCTTCTATGTGATTCTTTGATGCTTTTTTTTTTTTATCTCTCTCTGCTATGGAGATGGGAGGCTGTGGCTCTGTTCCCTCTCTTCTTAAGTGTTGGAAGAGAGTGATCTGCTGCCCTGCTGAGCAGGCAAGGCTTTTGCTATGTGATGACTTTCTCCTTTTGTGGCCCGTGGTGGCAGAGAGAGAGCTCAACAGTAACCTGGTAAAAGAATTGGTGTTTGAAAGGAAGGCAGTGGGCAGATTGTGAGTGTGAGAAAACTGCACAGAGAATGTAAGGAGAGTGCAAGGACCACTTGTCACCCTGTTGGTGCCAGCTGTGGGTAAGGTCTTCCCCTGTTTACAATGCAGCCTCTGTCCCTCTACAACATCTGTTTTGAGGGACTTCCATCTGTTGGTTTCTCTGTGTACATCAAATCACTTTCAACTTAGTCCTGTTTTTTTTTTTTTTATTTTAGTTCCAAGATCATCCTTTAGTCACAGTTACATACCCATGCCAAAATGTTCCTGCCACTTTTCTGTCTCAACAGTGGCAATAGCAGCTTTGTTTCAAATAGCTGCTACCTATAGAAGATGGGTTGGAGGTCTCCTTTCCCAGGCGTGAGGAGTGCTGACCACTGGTATTATCTCCCTTCTCTGGGAAAGTGCAAATTAGCTCCTAGGGCTGTTTCTGAACTCTCCCACTCCTTCATACTTTGTGGTGTTAACATGTCCCCCATCCCCTCTTTAAAATTTTAATTCCTACTCTCTTCCATGTCAACATAATTTTGCAAGTTGTTTCTGCTCTCCTGGAGGGAGGACAGCTTGTCTCTCCTCCTGCATCAGTGTGCTTTCTGCTTAAATTTTGTGCCTCCTGAATTTTCCTTTTTTTGTAAGCATTTAATAAAATTTGAAGATGATGTTGTAATGATGGCAACTCTGAGAATTTTGTTTGTGTAGGAGTTTCTGCAGGAAAGCTGTCTTCCAAGACCTTGCAAGTCCCTGCTTGAGTGTAAGGTGGAGGAGAAGAAACATCAGGCTCAGTGGCAAGAGGAAAAGAAGCTTGACATATGCAGGAAAGGGGATTTCTGTGTTCCTACCCCATTTAGATACTTGTCATTTTGCTGCATTTTTCATGGGGGGTAATTGACTGTAAAACAGGAAGGAGTGGTGTTTGGGTGAGAGATGGAGCAGCATGTAGAGACTTCTAGGGCGTGGTCGGCTAGAAGCACAGAGCTTACCTCCCCAGGTAGCAGACCTGAGCAACATCACAGTCTTTATCCAAAATCACTGGTGATGTCAGCTTTGTTAAAAAAAAACCCAAACAAACAACAAACCCTGTCTAACCTGCTTATCCAGCTTCAATAAGGTCAATATAGCTGTCTGTACTGGAACCCAGCACGCTAATGAGTTGATGACTCTATCTGGAACCATTTCATGAAAAGCCTTTTTATGGAGATGACCTTCCAAGTAATAACACTTTTACTACTTGTGGCAGTAAAGAGTTTCTGCTGTCCTTACCTATGCTTTCCTAGAGCGTTAGGAAGAAGAAAGTTTTCAGATGCCACTTGTTGCTCTTATCTTTCTGCTTATTGGTACCCTTGTCCTCTCCATCCTCTGCTTTAGCTCCTGGAGGTAGGAATTCAAGGAGTCTGTGTTCCTTACAGCACTGAGGAGCATGGACACCATCTGGCCCCATCTTCCCTTAAGCCCTTCCTCTGCCATGCTGGGATTTTCCAGTGAGGCTGGAGCAGCAGTAGTGTGGGGCATAGAGATATCCTGGCTTGAGCTGAAAACAGCACTACTTTGCATGTGTGCAAACTGGTTGCAGCAATTTTTCAACTCTGTTCTGTGGCTGACTAGAGGAAAAGATGGCTGGAAAGTTCTCCAGCTACTATTCCTGTGTCCTGCCAGTTTGGAGAGTGCAGACAAGGCCTTAGAGGCTGCTTCTGTGAGAGTCCTTCTCTAAGGAGGGTTAATTTGTGAAGTATATTTTCTCCACTTAAAGCCCACGAGGACCTAGGTGTGGTTTCAATAAACAACCGCTGTAATTCAGGTTCTGGTCACAGCAGAGAAGTGAGCAGGTTATGGGAGACCAGAGCTCTCTAGTGGTGGTCAGGAACCAGGGAAAGACCTGGCTTGGAACAGATGTGTGTAGCTCTTTATGAGGTACTTATGTGTGCCAGGGGAAATGTTTCCACAGTTAAATTAACTTTATGATCTGCTGTTTCTCCTCCCAAAGCAACATGGTGTGCACATGGTGGTGGGAGTGGCAGAGGGGTTACCAGAATGGTGAAACCTCCCACCACCACCACCCCAAAAAAAAAATAAAAAAAGAAAAAAGAATGCTGCAGCCCAGGTATACTGGATATGCATCTTAGTATTTAAGAGGGGATGGAGACTCATTTCTCCCCTCAGCAGCAAACTGTAGGGACTTCAGTTGCTCCCTTCACAAGAAAACATGGCATTGGTGAAGTGTTTCTGCTTATTTCTTGCTGGAATGAAAAGCTCCCACAGGTGAATTTGCTGTGGAGAAACCACTGTGTGTGGCGTGAAGTTACACTGTGACCTTTGCAAAGCCCTCCTGCTTCCAACTCTTCTGCTTGTCGCTGGGACCTCTGCCCTCCTAGGAAGGGCTTCTGGGGACTCGCCCCGCTCATGTGAGCGACAGACAGCAGGCTGGTGCCCCTCTATAGTAGCAACCCTATGTCACTGCTCTGATCTTGAGGCACCCCTCAAGGTGTTGCTTCACTGCAGTTCCTTCTTTCTTCATCTTGGCTAGATTATGCAGAAGGGGAACATCCTTCCAGCATCTGCTCTGAAATAAATGTGGAGGGCTAAGGTAATACTGAAATGTGCTGCTTGTGGCAGGGTTCAGGGCTGCTTTTTTTTCCCAGCAGGGTTTAACAGATGGTTCTACATGAGTGTTTGCAAGATGGAATTGAAAAACATTGCAGTGCCTGTTTCCTGCAGGCCATAAACCAGTATTATTTAAACATAGGGAAAGCTTATCTGGTGGAAAACTCAAGTCTCTTTCGAATGTTATGTTTTTATGCAGCACTTGTTCTGCCTTGAGACTGGGGGCTGGACTTCATCTAGTAGTCTTTTCATGTATAAAATAATTATAGGCTCATATTTATGTCCATCCTTATGTATATGTACTCACTAATTAACAGATCTCTGCTTAACCCTTGCAGCTCTGCACTGGGCCTAGAGTGAAGCAATGAACACAAGAGTTTAGAATTTCCAAATGAGTTTGTTCCTTGAAATGTGTCTGCAGTTTCTGCTCTTTGAAAGAAAGGTCAGCCTCAGAGACACCTGAGCCTGAATGTCAGAGCTTTGCCTCCTGCCACAACCACCTTCAGGAAGGAAAATAAACAAGTTTAAAGAGCAGGGCAGCTATAAATAATGAGGTGGCAGCTGATATGCTGCTGAACAAGGTTCTGAGGTTGGCCTATTGGTAATTCTTGGCAGCTCAACACACTTTCCCTGATACTGCATTACATACATACATATGTACACATGTACGTATTTTAAAGCAGGTAAAGAATGAATCTCATGTTGATAGGAAGTGCAATTAGAGCTACCCTTTACTTCAGTAATGATGACCCATTACAAGGGTCCTGATAATGAGACAGACCTGAGGTGATTTTCCTGTGCTTTTGCATTGAGTCCCCTCGGGGTTTTGGTTGCAGTGGAATGATTTGATTTAGATCACAAATTTTCAGAAAGGTGTTTCATCTCTTCTTGTTAAGTAATGGTGGTTTAGCAATGCTAAAGACATGCATTCTTTGTTCTTCAAATAAGTAGAAAAAAGTATCATGGATTTGGGGCTTCTGAGGATGAGGGGAAGAATTGAGGGGGGGTTGAAGCAAAGTAAGGGGGAGATATCATTGGGATTTATATGAGCAAGCACTCTAAAGCATGAAAGCAGCAAATTGCAAGTGTAATTACTCAATCAGAGGTGCTTGGTTGGGTAGGGAGGTCTTCCCCATGGTTGTGGAGAGAGTGTGAGTGGTTACTGTGAACACCTTGACTGGTGTCCTGCCTTGTTCACCTCCCCTGGGGACGCCCCAAAACAGCAGCTTCGGCAACCTCCTCTGGGGACACCCCAAAACAGCAGCTTCAGGCATTGGTCCTGGCTCCCATCCTGTTGCTCAGTCTTCATTCTCACTGTCAGACTGTCTCATCCATTTGTGTGTAAATAGTCTGAGGGTGAGACCCAGGCCATGTCTTGAATGGTCAAGCCTGATCCCTTATCTTTGGAGACACATTTGGCCTAGATCTAGGGTGTCCAAGGATGGTCTCCTGAATCCCAGAGATTAGATGTCTAAAGCAGATGCAGTGAGCACATCTCCGAAAGCAAACAAGTGATGGAGAAACAATCTACCACAAAAATCAGAAATCAATATTGACTGAAGGAAAAAGAAATTCACTACTTACTGATGTGTAATTTGTTTCCATCTGAAATCATTTGCATGTTGGGTGCATCGTGTTACTCGGTCCAGTTTACAAAATTAACAGGTGACTGTTCCTTCAAGATCATGTCAGGTGCTGTTTCTTGTGATTTTTAGAGCCCTGTAGGTAAGTTCAAAACACCAGATGGAAAAGTGTTTATAGTAGCCAGTAAGTACAAGCAGTTTCTCAAAAATAAATAAAGGGACTTTTTCAAAGCATGAAAATTTCCATCACCTAAAATTAGCATGAAGAAGGGCTATCGAGTAACACCACTGCATGCTCCTAACTTTGGCCCTGCAAAGTTCAGCATCTCAAGTACTGGAGAGGTGAAGGGCAGATGATGGTGATGTTGCCAGGACAGCTATTCTAGCAGAGTAGCTCCAGGCAATGAAACCAGTTGGAGGCTTTTCAAGTTGGCTGTCAGATTTACTGTTTTGCAGAAGTCAGGGTTGCTAAATGCAAATTTGGAGCTGTGCTTTGGTTGTTACCTTCCTAATAACAGAAGAAAGCAAATGCTGGCTCTGTCCCTGCTTGTTCCTGGTGAGGGACATGCTTATATGCAGGGAGTGCAAGTGCAGAAAATGCTGCACTGGGAGCAGAGGGGGTTTGGAGTTGATTAGTATGGTGAATTTTGGTCGAGGGCGTTTGTGTGCAGTTTGACTCAAAGATCTGGGCCAAGACTGCTTAAGTGAGCTGATAAGGATGGCCCCAATGCCTGCCTTTGTCCTGGATAACCTGTGAGTTACCCAGACACTATGCAGTTATTTACTGCCTCTTGGCCTCGGGAAATTTCATCCCTTTTTCCAGCTGACTTCCCAGGTTGGGCTTTGTTTTTTCACAGCCTTTCAGGAGCCTTTAAGTGTGGATGTGAAGGCAGCTGGGAGGTTAAATATACTCACGGGAAGATGGGGACACATAAGAGCACTTTCCTGGAGGTTTACAAAGCAACTTTACGCTCAGGTTAACCTTGGCCTGTTTCATATGGCTTTTGAGATGCTGGCGAGCTATACCACAAAACCAGCTCTGAAGGCAAATTCTTGCTGCTTCTCCAGTACCACACTGCTAAGCCTTGTTGCTCACTGACCCCCTGTGCTAATATATCTCTAATCTGACTTGGAGTTACTGTGTTTTGGATCAAGGTAGCAAAGCATTTCCTACATCCACGAGGGTTGTGGCACATCTGATGAGACCAGTTCTCATCAGGGATGTATATGCTGGTACTTCTGGGTTGGTGTTGGAGGTGAGCTCTCCATTTGCTTTGTCTCTCTCTGCCTCCCTCATGACTGATGAGCTCATGCCTGGCTCTGTAGGATATGCTGCTCCTTAGTGCAGTGCAGACCTGTGGAAGGATTGGGGATAGGTGCTTGATCCTTCATGCAAATACCCTAATGCAATTAAATCCTCTTTGACTGATGACTTCAACATCTCAAAACTGCTCTTGTCTTTTAGGAGTACTAGTGACTCTGTGTGTCTCCAGCACTGAAAATG